ACACCCCCCGAAGTTCACTTTTTTTATTGCAGATTCGGGGTCCTCTAGGGTACCGCAGCACAACCCCGCCTTCAAAAAAAAAAAAAAAAAATCCTTAATGTGTTTTGGCGTCGCCTGGTTTCACTGGGCGGAAACCCCGGGCCCAACCGGCCGGGGCCCGCCCGGCCGGGCGACTGCCCAGCCTAGAACAATATTTAGTTGTCAAAATATTTTTTTGCGGGGTCCGAACCCCTTCAAGTTCGGGCCACGTACGGGGACCCGAACACCCGAACGTTCGGGGGTCAGCTTAGGGGCCTCCGTACGTTCGGCCTGGCAACCCTGCATGAGACTAACAGTGAAAATCTGCATAGAAGTTTTGTGTTCAGCTGCGTGTCCAGCTCACAAGGCGTACTTTTCTTTCGTCTTTTACTAGAGAGAAATATTGTGCACAAAGTCTTGGGCACATAAAAAATGTGTACAGACAACAATGTTTTTTGTGTAGGAAAAAAGACAAAAAAGACAAAAAAGACAAAAAAGACAAAAAAGACAAAAAAGACAAAAATGTTGACGACGGGATAAAATTTCAAAACTGGATATGCAAGGGCATAATACTCGAACTAGGACTTTTTCTACAAAGCTCTAGACGTGATTGCAGTCAGATTCATCCAGGTCTGGGCTGTAATTGCAGTCGGATGCGATTTGGAAAAGTGATTGTGTGAGTTTGCCCTACAACAGCCTATCAGCATAAAAAACTGACTTTGACGTACCACAAGAACCAAAAAAAGAAAAAAGAAAAAAGAAAAAAGAAAAAAGAAAAAAGAAAAAAGAAAAAAAAAGGTTGTAAAAAATGTACAGACAGTTTGCACTGCTGCCACATAAAGGGATGGGGATCGATAACCTTCCCCCCCCCCCATCCCTTTATAGACTGTTAAAAAGGTACACCTGCTGTTTGCACTGCTGCCACATAACAAGGCATCGTCACACCACTAACGGAATGTGAAACAAAGACAAAACCAACAGCAGGTGTACCTTTTTAAGCTTTTGCAGAAGGTACATGATCCATTTTGCACATTTCGGCAGTAGTGCGGTGAGGCCCTATTAAATTAATTTAAATACGATAATGTCGATTAATCTCAGGTCAGACAAACCTAAGATTAATAACATCTACAAAACTTGAATAGTGGTTTTAAAAAACAGAAAAGATCGGGATAAGGCAAAGATAAAGTAGATTGAAGCTCCCCACCACTTGATGCAAACTCTGTTTTGTTATTTAAAAAAAAAAAAAAAAAAAAAAAAAAATCAAGAATAAGATGAAACCACTAACTGGTACTTAAAGGTACACACTTGACAAAGCCATGTTGGTCCTTCGGGACATCCGTTAAACTTCGTCCAAGAAGATTATAAAAACAAAAAGATTAGGCTGGCCCCTGAGAACCGATGACACACTTAAATTTAGAAATGGTCCCAAGAAAGAAAGAAAGAAAGAAAAAGAAAAAAGGCCATGTTGTCAGAGTTACGCTGAGATGACCACCTGCAAGTTTGCAACTCCTCACCTGAACTACCCAATCGCGCTCAAAAGCCACCGACGTGGCTAGCCCGCCAAGCCGGTCGACAGCAGCCAAAGCAATGAATAACATGTACCAGGGTTGACGAATGAGGGCCGCTGATGATGCCGCCATGGACGGCCCAGATTGAAACGCGTGTATTAGCAGGAGTGCAGTGCCGATCTGCCCCAGTGTCTGCTCTGCATGCCAATCAACAAACCAGACATAGCTGATGGAACATCTCCCCTGACCCCAACACCATCTTTTTTTCGCTTCTTCCTAAACTGAGCACCACTTATTCCAAACAGAGATTCCCAAACCAGATAGGTTTCTTACTATATTCTCAAACATACCAGTAAGATGAATGATTTCTCTCTCTCTCTCTCTCTCTCTCTCTCTCTCTCTCTCTCTCTCTCTCTCTCTCTCT